CTCGTGAGCAAAAGGCACTAGAGAAAGTTGGCGGGTGACTTCCTCACGGACGAAGGCTCGGACTTGCTGAAGCAATGATGAATTGTCAGGCATGGTGTCGAAACTGGACAGCGACTTACCACCACGCTCAGGTTGTCGAGTCAGAGAACGTTGCTTCTTCAACTCGTCGTAGCTCTGACATAGGCTGACGACTTCAGAAACTGTGCTTGGATTTCTAGCCAAGAGCATTCGAAATGCGCCATCGTCGATGCCCTTCAGGTTGTGTTTGACCTTGTCCGACTCGGGCATGGTGTCATTCGCGCGTCGACAAAGGTCGACGACATCCTCAATATAGCTGGTGAAGTTTTCGCCTGTCTGATGAGAGCGGACGCGCAAGCGCTGTTCTGCCTGCTGCTTGCGGACAGCCGGCCGACCAAACACTTCAGCACATGACGTCTTGAAGGCGCTCCATGTGGGGATGTTGTGTTTGTGGTGGTTCAACCACAATTCTGCGACGCCGGTGAGATAAAATATGACATGGCCAAGCTTGTCTGCTACATCCCACTTATTATTGGCGCTCACCAGCTCGTAGTGCTCAAGCCAGTCTTCCACGTCGGTCCCATCCGCACCACTGAAGACCTTCGGGTCGCGTAGCCTAGGATGGCCAGGGCAGTTGAACTAGGTCGACGATGCCGATGGGTTGGCGTTGCCAGTCATGACGGGCGGTAGCGTGCGGCTTCGCAGTTCCAGGGTGTAGCGACAGGGATAAACAGCACCTCCACCAAATTTGACGAGGTTTATTAATCGATAACGACAACGGCAAGACAGCGTGAAGAACCGTCCAGCAGAGATCAGCACAGCAGCGAGCCGAAGGACGCGCTGAGAGAGCCGGGCGTTGGCGATGCTGCTCACCGCAGGCGCATCTTCTTCTTCACAACTATATTTTAGAAGTGACACTTTTTTCTCCTAACAATGTTAGGTAGGTGTAAGGAGCACGAATTCAAGACAGTTTTTACTATTTCAATTTTTTTCTAGCACCGTATACCCACAGAACTGTTGCTCAGTGCAGATTTTGCGCTCCATAGAAAGGCACGTTCACAAATATCGTCGGCGATGACACCCCCCCCCCCCCTATCGATTTTTAGTGTTGCGCACTTGCTTCCGTTCTTTGCTGTGCGCGAAATCGTGAGGTGCATTTCATCGTTGGGGAACCTCCTGTGCACCGTGTCCAACTGGTAACGGAACCATACGGATTGCATTTAACGCTGATTGCTTGCTTTGGTACCTGCGGAAATGATGCGTTATGCAAGAATGCAGCAGCAACAAAATATGCTTGGCTACTTATGTTTTCTAGATAGGAAACCAGGACAACGCTTACGAATACAGTGCTCGCTAGAGTCTCGTGTATCAGTGTTCCTGTGGCCCAGTTGCCTTCTTGAGCACGCATTGTCTATTATTATTCTTGTTATCCATGAACGGATCTCCAAGTTATCTGTCACGCTATAATTTGTATACATGCATTCACATTAGTAAAAGTATCGTATGTTAGCCTAATGCAAAACAAACGCATGGAGTTTCCACAGACGTTTTTGTGCTTATTACTCTTGTGTGCCATGTAAAATACGTGAGTCATTGTGACCATTGAGTAAAACTGAAATGACATACTTTTGGCGTGACTAGGCGATATTTCTTCCTGTTAGAAAAAAGAGGAACACAAGCATTGTGTATGGTAAAGAACCTGCGTATGAGCGAAGCAAATGAGCAAAGCTTCGGATATGACAGGTAACCTTTAATCTATTTACGGAAGAAGGCACGAATGCCAAATAATAGTTTTATGAATAAGCTGCCTTGTAAACTGAAGCAAACTGAAGGATAGTACACCTGAACATGACTATCTGGTCATGAGTGGATATTGGATTACATGGCCTTGACCTAAACCGAACTCATGCAGAACTTACCGGCGATCGCCTTCGCGGAAGTAAGGGGCCTATAAAAAGTAATTTGAGATAAAATTTTGTGCTGGCCCACCCAAAACGACGTCACTTGTTTACCAGCTTTGCGTCATATCTGGTTTATTTTATCTTCCACGAGAAATGTTTCCTCCTCACAGAGATGGCGCTTAGCCTTATGAGAAGATGATCAGCTGCCATTTTTCGAACGTATGGTATTCTAAGAAACCTTTGCTACCAGTTATATCTGAATGGCGTGTTTTTTTGAACAGTTTGTTTACTATGAAGTAAGCATAGCGTTACGTGGCGTATAGTAATTGATTGATATGTGGGGTTTAAGATTCGCAAACCACCATATTAGTGTGAGAGACGCCGTAGTGGAGGGCTGCAGAAATTTCGACCAGCTGGAATTCTGAAACGTTCCACTGAACCTGAGCACTCGGGCATACAGCATTTTAGGCTAATCGAAAATGCAGCCACACCAGCTGGGATTTGATCCCGCGACGAGCGGGTCAACAGCCGAATACTTTAGCGGCCGGATTAGTGGTAGAGACACTGGGTCACTACATCCAAGGTAGTGCTGGTGGGAGATTTCTCCTGTGCGTTGTTGAACAATAAAATTTGCAGCGTGTGCGCGAAAAAAAGGCGTATATACTGCAGGTCTCTGGGTCCAATCGCAGACGTCTGTGTCTCACTGCCCATCAGCAGTGATTAGCATGTTTATATATGAAACACCGGTCGATCACCGTGTGCTTTTCGCCTCCCCAGGTTTCTCTCCTGCGAAACGCCGCGATGAGCGCCAGCGTCAACGCTGACGCCGGTGTAAGCGTTAGGGCCCGCTGTTTTGAATCTACACGTTGTTCCCTTTAGGGTGAAATGGTGTAATTGTTTTAGAAATTATGGAAGTCGGACGTAATTGTAGGCACTCATTATCAAATGATAAGGGCGATAGGGGAATTGCTCGTGCCCGGCGTGTTGGAAACGTGGTCTTTCTGTTACGTTCAAGGTCTAACCAACACTTTGCTCGAAACTAGCAAAGTTTCAATGAAGACATACGACGTCCTTACCTTCAGTGAAAAACGGTAATTCATCCCACTTGCGCCAGCAGATTGCCTTTCGTTTGCGTGTTATGTTTGGTGTTTACCATTTATTTCGAGACGTGCGCAAAAAAAACACTATATCAGCGTTGTCTTTCTCTGGGAAGCATAACAGTAAAAAAAAAGCCACTGCGGCACTTCTTGCAGACAGGCCAAATACTTTTTTTTCCTGTTCAGCGTTTACCAAAGCGACAAATAAGCACGACGCGTCTAGTTCAAAGAATGAGCTGTTTTCTTGTGTATTTCAGTATGCTTCCCAATTTTCCTGGTCATAATCTCCTCGACGCTCCGCGCATTGATTACATCTTCGTCACTTTGTGGCCACGTATTCATTTGTTATTTTTTTACAGAGAAGCAGTGTTGTCTGCGCACTAGGTGCAATAAATATCTATTTAGCCCTCAAAATATAATTGGGTGTGCAACAAATTGTTACGCATTGCAACTATCCAGTATGAAGAAGTTGACTTTAAATATCATCATCAACAGCAACAAACTGACTACGCCTACTGCAGGGAAAAGACCTCTTCTTTAATTATCGGTCCTTCCCATGATTATTGTTCATTTTGTGAATGCTAACGTCGGTTACCTTGTTTAGAGTACCGAATGTATTCTGAGGCAAAACTCCGAATAACTGTACTTTCACTCTCATCGCTAGCTCATTTGTTGGCTTCTTGGGTATCAGTTTATGCCTTTGCTTCTTTAAGTATATGTGAATACGAGCCTTTACCAATTTTTGGTCGCTGCATTGGATCTTTCGAACTACTTCTAGATCCTGTACAATGCCTGGGTGTGCACACAGAATGAATCCTGTTCAATTTTTAGTTTCGCTATTAGGACTACGCCACGTCCACTTACGGTTAGCCTGTTTTATGAAGAAGGTATTCAAAAACAGTAAATTACTACGTTCTGCGAACTCTACTAACTACCCTATGGCATTTCCACAGCCCATTACATAATCTCCCAATGCGTGGTCTCCGGCCTGTTTCTTGCTTACTATGACATCAAGTTCGCCCATCATATTACCGCGTTCCTTGTTCAAGATTTATCACCCCGTTACGCTGTACGCGATTCTCTGCGCAAACCGTGCCTACAGTGTTCGAGAAGCTTCAGAACTGTAGTAGATCATTTTGTTGAGATTACGCTCACTTTGTGGGCATTTCAGATTATTCTGGAATCTACGTCTCCGCCAGTTAAAACACTAGAATGTTTGATGTTGAGTGTAGAAACGCCGTCACGCTTCGCCGCTTGTCAGTTTATTGACGGTCGACGCGGCATTCACTGATATCAATGGAAGTGTGCTACTATAACCCGGCTTTTCATTTACCGGGCACAGGTTCGCCCAAATCAACAGTTTGATCTGACCATCCAGTCTCCTGCCTTCAGCTACGTCTCGACTCTGTGGTAATACAATTATACTGTGTCTTCACATTAACAATGCCTGACTGTACGTCTTCATAGTAGCGCTCAACCAAAGGATCATCATGGCTAGATGTAGGTGCGTAGGCGTGTACCACCTTCATTGTGTACCTTTTGTTAAACTTAATTATGATACTTGGCAACTTCTCAATGTTGCTATAGTATTCCTCTATGATGCCAGGGATATTTGTGTATATAAGAAACCCCACCCCTAGTTTTTTCTTTCAACTAATCTATGGTAACATAGGAAGTGTCAATTCTTCAGCACTGTACTCAGCTCTGCATTTCAGCAGTGCAAATCAAGCTGATTCAATGCGGTCAGGGATGCAAACACGTCATCGCTTTCAAACGAGGTTTCTTGTCCTTTGCCGCTCTCTAGAATTAGTGACATCCGGATATAGTGAACATCTGCATATTGTTAATCAAAGCGTGGAAGCATGTGGTGGTCATTTAAACTTTGTTACTGTGCAGCTAAAAACACAACACAAAAACAATCACCTCTACGCGACGGGCGCTTTTCATGAGTCAGACATGAGATTCGGTCTTCTACTGGTTGCAGAAGGGTGAAAAAGGTGAACGCGGCCGCCGAGGACGCAGGGGCCCGCCTGGACCTCCGGGAACCATCGTCGACGAGCACGGCAATATGGTGGGTCTGCTCCAGGAAGAGTTGTTCTTTTCATTGAAAGCACTTATTCGGGTATTGAGCAGTCATGTAAATATACCTGTCAGCTTTCTATTCGTCATGCATAAACAGGAAGAGCAAGAAACAGAGGTGAAGACAGAGAGACCAGCCGATTGTTTGTCCTGTATGCTGCACTTTGCTGGGGAAATGGGGTGAGGAAAATAAAGCTAACAGAAAAAAGACGCCACAGAAAAGCTAATCTAATTGAAGTGACAGCTACTACATTGAACAGCGGCGAAACAAACGCAATGGTATTAGGGTTTGCCTTCCAGTCATCAGCATTGACAGGCGCGTATCTGGTTTGGCGAGCTGCGCTTATGCTCGCCTCGATGAATGGCGTGCACCGTACCAGAGGAAATGCTTGCCACTGTTCTGGTTTCAGTTGACGCCATCATTACGCAATAAGCACGAATAATTTGGGCACTGTACTTGACGTCCAATCCAAAGAAAATAGTTGAGAAAATAAAAAGAGAAAACGAATGAAGGTCAGTCAGATGCACCACCAGTTTGATACGCACACATGGAAAGTGATATAATGCATGAAAGCAAGCATAGCAAAAGGGCGAGAAGCAACACTTGCTGAACTCGTTCAGTTAGCCGTTCCTGCCTACAACCGCATATACATTCAAATCGTAGAAACGTATGATTTCGTGAGCACAGTAATCTCAGGGCTTATGGTTCATACATGCACTCGTAGTAGCGATGGTGTTCTCAAGTTGTATGTCTTGATCGTGATGGCAACTGTGAATTAATGCGGAATTTACACAAAATCTGTCCTAAGGTTGCACAGGGACCACCTGGACTGAAAGGAGAACCTGGAGAATCTATCAAAGGGAGCAAGGGTGAGCCTGGCCAGCCGGGACCACCAGGAATGGGGACATTTCTTGGAGCGGTAAGCTGGCAGGCGGTGTGAACTTGGCCCTCTAGAATACATCGCTCTTTGTGGCCAAAGGTTTGAGGTTGCTGCTCTGTTTGACTGATTGAGCAAACGAGGGATCAAGCCATGTCGATGTTGCAAGGTCGGATCAGAATAAAAACAAAGTGTGCCTTTTTTGTGGTACATGTTAGGCCGTGGCACGTGCGTATTTGCGCTTAGTAATGTTTGTTTCTGGGTTCCGCCGCGGTGTTCTAGTGATTATGGAAGTCGACTGATAATCGGAAAGTAGCAGCATGAAATGCCGGTGGCGGCGGCTGCATTTTCGCTGAAGGCAAAAATGTTGAGGCCCGTGTACTTATGTTTAGGTCACGGTGCAAGAATACGATAGGTGAGCGAACGCCACGAAGCGAGCTCTCGGCGGACAGGGACCGATTATGTTCTAGTTTGCGGCGTCCCGTTGGAGGGCTTTCGCAAAGCACATCCGGAACGTCAGCGAAGATTTGCAAATCTGAGAGAGCCGGGCTATCGCGCGATATCAACCCCGCTACACGCATTGAGCGACGCCGCGAAAGAGAGGGTGATAAGGAAGGAGGTGGACAGCGCAGCAAGGGTGTTGTGGCGACGGTAAAAGAGCGCCGCTACTTTCATACGTCACGGGGCTTACCTAGACCGAGAGGGAGAGGGGGGCTACGCGTAAATTGGAGCGAAGTTCGTAGCGCCATATCCCGGCATCTTTTGCAAAGGAGAACATTATCGGGCCGCCCTGCCGCGGTGGTCTAGTGGCTAAGGTACTCGCCTGCTGACCCGCAGGTCGCGGGTTCAAATCTCGGCTGTGGCGGCTGCATTTCTGATAGAGGTTGAAACGTTGTAGGCCTGTTTGCTCAGATTTGGGTGCACGTTAAAGAAGCCCAGGTGGTCGAAATTTCCGGAGCCCTCCACTACGGCGTCTCTTATAATCATATGGTGGTTTTGGGACGTTAAACCTCACATATCAATCAACATTATCAGACAGCGGATAGTTCAGGCGTTCGCTCACCTAAAGTATTCTTGCACCGTGGTTTAGGTGCACGTTAAAGACCCTATAGGTGGACGAAATCACCGGGAGCCTTCCACTACGGCTTGGGAAATGATGGTTATGGGACGATAAACCCGGATGTCATTAATATAGCTCGTTTTTTGAATGTCAGTAGGGATGCTGACTGTCGGCGTCCATATCCGCCATTTTGACTTAGTTACCTTGGAAATCTCGGCGACAACACCTCAAAGTTTTATTGGGATTCAGGAAATAAACTATGATGTTCCACGCCATGATACTATACTCAGGTTACACAGTACATTCAAAGCCATTGACAGTGAATTCTATAACGTATTGATTTGACCTTTAGTGCGGCCTCGGGCACAGTGAAGGGCATTGACAGCGGATGGAATTTGCCCACTGAATCAGCTTTCCCAACTCATGCACGGAAGACATGCGTTATGTTCCGGACAGGAGCTTGGTAAATACAGTGTAACCTCGGGGACACAATCACAGCTCGTACGAATCTCGGGATGATACGAATTTTGCTGTGGTCGCGACCAAGGCTGATTATTCTTCAGAATACTGGAGGGCAGTTGCTGCGAATCGCTTTTCACCCTGCGACGTTTCATACGAATATAAAATACAGCGCAAGTGCAAAAAGGCACTGCTCGCGCAACGGCAGAAGACCGGCAACCACGTGCGGGCGGGGAACCACCAATTTGCAGAGTGGCGAGTCGCAGCCACTGAGATATTGCGCATGAGTCTTAGAGACAGTAATGAGCCGTCGTGTGTTTTCGCATTAAAAGGGCAGATGGTGTTAACAAATCGTCTTTTCCTTTTCTTTTTCTTCTTTATTACGTGGACGCGTGCTTGCTTTGCGTGAGGCGGCGTCGTTACAGTGCGTTTACATGTGCCTGCATGTCGATGCACGCCATGTCCTCGTAATCAGGCATTTTATTGAAGGTGGACGAGGGTACAAAGTGGAAGCGCATATTCTTGGATGGTCTTGGTGAACGAGCTAGTCCTCGGAGAGTCCTCATGCACGATTGCTCGGGACGCGCACTACTGCTATCTCTACGGTTTCCATGGAATACTCCCAAATTTTTAGCAAACCTCCTGATTGTACGGGTACCGCAGTGAATATACCAACAAATTTCACAAACAGCATCTAGATAGAAAATTATCTCAATGATGGAGGGCAGATCCGAAATATTTTGGCCTTCATTTATCACGTACAACGCCCGCTTAGGTCCATTTTGTTGTAATTCTTTGTTTTATTATGTGAAAGCGTGCTATCATTAGCAAAACGCTACTAGCTTTGAAGGGTCACAATTATCTGGTTCGTTATTTACGCACACACACACACACACACACACACGCACACGCACACGCACACGCACACGCACACGCACACACACACACACACACACACACACACACACACAAACACACGCGTGCGGTATATTTTCGAGCAAAAATATAAGCATTGACGTCTTAAAACAATAATGGTAGAAATTGGAACTTTCGAAGATGTTGGGTTCTGGGGGACAAAAAATCAAAATCTAGGCTAGCTTTCTCTCCTCAGGTACGAACTTTTTATGAGCTCTGGTCATACAATTGTGAGGTAATATGAAAATTTTGCTGGCCGCTGGAGGTTCGTATCACCGTAGTTTCATGGTAGAGTACACATTTTGTAACCTAGAACAAAATGCAACCATTGTTAAGGCGTTTCTATTGGCATTTGACTTTAAGATGGTTCGAGGATGTCGAGGACCAAGATAATCTCTTGTGCATCTTCAAAGTGTTGTCTGAACAGTTTGCTGCATTTCATCTAAATGCTCGCAGCATTAGAAACAAAACGGATTACATCAGCCTGTTCCCCAACCGTTTTGAGAGTAAATTTTATGTTTTGTATTTTGCGGAATCTTGACTGACTCCGAAAGATAGCCCACCACAGTTCGCGAGTTATGTTCCTAATGGCGTTGTTCGTTCTTTGAATTGGGGTGGTGGGATCATCAGTATGTATGTTAAAGATACCCTCATTGATGACGTTATCGACGACTTGACCTGTATCACGCCTCATATAGAGTGTCTTAAAATGTGTGTGCAAAATGTAATAGTTGCAGCTGTTTACGGATCTCCCACTGGGTATAAGTCTGAATTTTTTATTTTTATAGAAAAGCTTCTGCGCCAACTCCATGTGATGCGTAGTTCACTCCTTATCATGGGTGATGTAAATGTTGACATGCTCAGTGGGGATGCATCATGTGAGCAGCTGAAAGCTATTCTAGACTTGTTTGCCTGTTCCAATGTCATCACACAACCTACACGTCTTACCACCCACAAGGCCACTTTGCTCGATGTATCACAAACTCCCCCAGTCAAACTTGCACCAGTGGTATATTATTACATAATGTAAGCGATCACCTGCCTATCTTCACATTTTTGCCGCTTGATAGTGACAGGCGCGACTCAAGCGAAAAGCCGTGTTATTGTAGAATGAACTCGGATCAGCTTAAAGAATTTTATCATGCTCTGGAAACCACACAGTGAAACTTAGTTTACGCAGAAAAAGACCCTGATAAAGCATACAGTCTTTTCAACGAGGCACTTAAGGTTATCAATGACCGACACTTCCCACTTGTTCCATTCCGCAGGAATAAAAAAATTCGCAAGCCTTGGGTTAGTCGATGTTTGTACAAAAGAATAAAACATAAAAACAGAATGTATTATGCATTTGTACAGACACGTGACGCTGCTCTTTTTAGCGAATTTAAAAGATACCGTAATAAGTTAAACGCCGGCTTGAAAAAGGCTAAGGCCTGCTAGTATCAAAAGCTTTTTGCTACTATACTTAATAACCCAGAAAGCTGTGGAACAAAATAAATAATTTATCAAACAACTCGAAAGTAAAACGTCGTATTAACATTGCAGCTTTTGCCCATGGCAAAACGGAATTGGAAGCACTCACAGAAATGAATGAATACTTTGCGAATGTGGGTGAATTTCAAACAAATCTCAGTTCTCAAAGTTGTCATGTTACTACACATAAACGCAAAAGGTTACTACACTCAATTAGTTTATTCCCTACAAGTTCACAAGAGGTAGAAAAATTAGTGGGAAACATTAGAAACAATGTTTCGGCAGAAATCGATGAGCTAAGTGCCTTACCCATTAAATACGTTGCGGCTCTTATATTTTCATCATTAACACGTATTACTAACAGAATGCTTGAAACTGGAATCTTCCCCTCAGATCTGAAGCTTGCTCGCATATGCCCGATACATAAGGGAGGTGCTGTTGGTGATATAAGTAATTACAGACCCATTTCAACATGAGAGCGGCCGCGTCAGCAGCACGGGTAAGTGAGCTCTGCACATATGTACCTATAACTTTAGCGATTTTGGTTCTAGGAGGGTCAGAGTGGTGTTTATTTGTTCGTGAAGATACAACGAGTTCAACCGCTACAAATTCTGCTATTACAAATGAAAATTTTAAAATTTAGGAGCGAAAAATAGTGCGAATCTGTGAAAACAGCAACAGTCGGACCACGTGTTTTTTACGATCGCTTGTAGCTTCGTGAATGTTCTACCGGGAAACTTCTTACTTATAAAGTTGAAAGTCCTTAGAGTAGACCTGACGCTACTGAAGTGTGATCAGGCTAGGTTTAGTAGTTGCAGAGTTATTCCGCAATCAAAATTAAGCCTAATCACTAAAGAGAATAAATTGGTAATATCACCCCGCAAACGCATTTAAATTTTGTCCACTTAATATAATAATAAACCTCACCCCATAGGCTACCAGGAGGCCCAATTCCGTACACTCTAGGCCCTTTCTAAGGTGGTAATCAGCAAAAAGCTCATTTCATTAAAACAAATTTTCAAAAGAAGCTACAAACGCCACCGAAAAATAGCTAATATCTTCTTTTAGAACACAACAGTCCGGTTTTTTCCGTGTAAAAATAATTTTGATAGCTTAAGGTAACCGGAAGATACAG